TGTTACTTTTTCTTTCTTTCTTCCATTCTTTCTTTCGTTATATTTTCTTTTCTTCTTTCTTTCTTTGTATTCACAATGGCGTTGCTTTTTTCTTTCTTTTCTTCTTTCTTTCTTTCTTTCAAGTCTATCTTGATTCTAATCACCGTCTCCTTTTTTTCTTTCTTTTTTTTCTTTCTTTTGTTTATTCTTTCATTCTTTCTTTCTTTATATTTCGATTAATGTTCCTTATTCTTTATTTCTTTTTTTATTTTCTTCTTCTTTTGTTTATGTCTCGTTCTTCCTGATCAATTCATCTGCCTTACCAAAATGTCTTTCCCTCTGCTTTTTCTTTATAATCTTTCTTTTCTCATTGTCTCTCATCGATTTTTTTCCTTCTTCCTTTCTTACTTCATTTTATTTACGTCTCTCCTTTTTTGTCATATTCTCCCTTGATTTCTTTCTTGTCTAGATTTCTTATCTATCTTTCAAATTCATGAGAGTTTATTTTAATTAATTCGGTTCCGCCATTTTACTTCAAGTTTCTATCATTTCAATTTATCAACCATGTTTTTTTTTTATATTCCGTTCGCCTTTTCTTTTTCATTTTTCTTCGATTCTTTTCATCTTTACTTACCGTTTCGTTTCTGTTCTTTTCATGTTTTCTTGTTTCCCATTTCCACTTTTCTATCTACTCATCTTGCTCTCCGCTTTTGTCCTTCGATTCAATTGTCGTCCTGCTCTTCCATAATTTATAACTATGAAATATTATTAGAGAAATCATTTTCCGCCGATTGTTTTGTTTCTCGCGCATGCGCTCACGAACCAAATCGTTAATTCTCACAATCAAGATGGAAGCACGCATGCAAGGACATAACATCTTTTTAAAAATAATGATGTTATATGCTTAATCCAAGACACAAGACAAAGCATGCGTGTGTCAGGTGGGGGTGCGTTGAACGTTAAGTGAAAATCCAGCGATTCACTGTCTGTGAGTTGAGCTTGCTACGCACGACTCTCCGGTAAAGCGCAAATATTTTGAATCATTTCACCACAAGCAGGGTAATAAAGCCACTAAGACGCAAGGGATTACTGAAAGTATTTGAAAAATACTATATAATAGACAATGATACAATACAATAAACGATGAAGTATGAAGATGCCAGAAGATAACGTTGGACATTGCATTTAAATTTTGGAAGATCAAAGGTAATAAAGCCACTAAGATGCAAGGTTTTACTGAATGTTAGATATTATGAGAAAAATTGCTATTAAGGAGAGAGGACAATAAAAGAACAAGAATTACGAAGAGAGAAGATAACGATTGACATTGCATTTCAATTTTTGAAGATTAAAGGCAATAAAGCCACGAGGACGCAAGGAGCTACTGAATGTTAGAGAATATGAGAAAAATTACTATTAAGGAGAGAGGACAATAAAAGATAAAGAATTAAGAAGACAGAAGATAACGATTATCAATGCATTTAAATTTTTGAAGATCAAAGGCAATAAAGCCACTAAGATGCAAGGGGGTTACTGAATGTGAGAAAAATTATTATTAATGAGAGAGGACAAAAAAGAAAGGGATATAGAAAGACAGAAGTTAACGATTGACATTGCATTTCAATTTTTGAAGATCAAAAAAACTAGAAATCAGGGCAGGGTCACACAAGCGAGAAATCCTGTGGGAAAGTGTCTGAAGCCGAGATGCCAAGTCAGGACAATTAAGATTACAGATTCTTCATTGGATTTTATCAACAATCTCTAAATACATATCATTAGAGGCAAGTCATTCCTTGCCCCATTTAACAGCAGACACTCTAGCTACGGCTATACTAGTGATTTAGAACCAATAATAAATAGGCAAAACACCAGAAATCTCAAAACTAACGTGCAACAAAATATAGTTAACACTAGTAATTAATGCAACTGTAGAAATAAAAATAGATGTCCATTAGATGAAAACTGAAGCAATAATCTATAAAGCAGAAGTTATAGATATTAATGGTCAGAATAAAACGTGCATAGGATGTACTGAAGGTACTTACAAACGTAGATGATACAATCATAGGTCGTCATTCAAGCTAGTACGTTTTGGAACTCTACCAGACTAGCTAATCATGTGTGGAATTTAACAGAAAAAGCAGCAGGGATCCAATTGTAAGGTGGAAAATTTTAAAAATGGCGAAGCCTTATACGAACGACAATATCTGCAACCTCTGCCAACAGGAGAAGTTCGCAATAATGATATTTCTGGGTCTTCTGAACCAGAAATCCGAAGTCATGAGCCCTTGTACACATATAAAATTCCTCTCCAGCTCATATGATGCTGGATAAAAAGTATTTATATTTCAATTACCCTCCTCCACCGATACATTTGTAATACCCTTGCTTTTGTTCTCCTCCAGCTTCTTCTTCTTCTTCTTCTTCTTCTTCTTCTTCTTCTATAGAAGATGATTTTGCTTAAATGTGCATATCACCACTCTGAAGATGGCTCATGTATCGCCAAAGAATAGCATAAAAAAATATCCAAATGTTGGACAATTTTTATCTTTTTTTTCTCCCGAAATTAAAGCAAATATACGAAGTTTAGAACGGGTCCTGATCAAACATAATAGACATTCGTTGGATGTTATATTTAACAGTATATTTTCGAATAATGATCTGCTGCACCAATACAGTATATATATATATATATATATATATATATATATAGATAGATAGATAGATAGATAGATAGATAGATAGATATATAGATATATATGTGAAAAGTGTGTGTATATAAATATAAATAAATATATATGTATAATTATTTATATATTATATGCGCGGTACTTATTAGAAAGCGCTCAATATCAGAGATAGAGCTAACATATTTGTTTGGATAGTGTGAAACCCAGGGTCACAAACTCACATCTATCCAACCAAATATATATATATATATATATATATATATATATATATATATATAGTTACTTCATTGAATACGATAGACAAGGTGCTTTATTTAGTTTTTTATACAATTTCACATGCGATCTAATATTTTTTTTCTTTTCAGATGATAATTTATATAAAAACTGTCCGAATGTTCTTTTTATTCTAGCGCTTTCGGCTATACATTTAGCCATTTTCAAGGATTAAATATTTTAACTGTTAAATAAGAATTGTCCTCATCTTTGTCGCCATATTTATTACAACATTTGGAATGTCGATCTGAACCCTTTATTTCGCCCACTGTTCTGATGGATGTGTTAAGGTCTCCACTGCCTTAACTGGGCATTGAACTCACAATTTGCGTCCTGTCACAGGATCTTTATCCACTGTGCCATGGAGACATCTGTGTATGAATTTCTGGGTATTGTAAATCTAATGTCTTCAGCAAAAAATTATCTCTTTTTGAATAAGATGTTTTGTTTTATCAGTAAATTTGCCAAAATTCATATTAACTTTTTATTTTATATTATTTTTCACCGAGTACTTTCGAATGTTGCTCCATTCGTTTTCAAGGTATTTTTCTGTGTGCACCTATATGCAATATACAGAGTAATTGTATATATATATATATATATATATATATATATATATATATATATATATATATATATATATATATAAGATGATTTATATAAATGTTCTTTTTTTTACAAAGATATACATTTTGAAATAACCTAATTTTTGTTTTATATTTACAGGTAAGTGAAGATTTTCGCAACATAAAGATAATGTATTGTGTGGCTTGGCTGAAGAAAAGATTCGTAAGTTATATATATTTTATTTATAAGAAAAAAGTAAATAAGATGAAAGAAATACTAGTAAAAAATTAATAATTGAAAAGGCATCATCTACGAAAATTCGACATCTTAAGACTATTATTACTTGGTGGATAAGCATGAAGTACAAGATGAAAGTAATAGTCATCTACGAACCTCAAACAGATTATGAGTTAAACTACTTCTTCGAGTAGTGTTGGCAGCTACACTTTATTCCTATATAACGCCAAGATATTTCCACGAGCCGCATCTTAAAAACTAGCAGCATGGCCCGGCGTTGTCAAAAATCGTACGGCTCATACAGCAATCGCTATCACTTGACTTAAAATATTTTTGCCCTTCTTTGCATTTAAAGGAGTGCCCTTTGCCGTGCTGATGTTGCTACATGCCTTACTTCTTGCCTATCTCACACTGCAAATTTTTTCTAAGCTCTATACTAAACATTAAATCTGTTACGAAAAAGAATTAAACAAAATGAATACAAAACGATTAGCTTTAAAAAAGGACTCGTAACTGGAAAAATCGAATGAAAAAAGAATGTTAACAACAAATACTTTTTCACACCCAACCCATTTCTGCGAAATCAGAATCAACGTTGAGTTTAAGCAAGCGAATGAGCCAATTGGAGTAAAGTGCTATGCAGATTTAAATTTTTCCCACATGTGACGAATGCAGCTATCGATTTTTTTGGCATGTTAGCATGCTAGTTATCATTCGTGTCGGTCAGCTGTTGGCTCTCACGCTGGCCAATAGAATCTTCCTGCCTACTCGTGGCAGCCAGCTATAGGCTCTCACTCTGGCCAGTAGAAAATGGCCGCAAACTACATGAAAACTGCTGTAGAAGCATGAAAAAATCGATTATTTCCACTATCGATGGGAGTTGAGAAATGCAAAGTTGATCTTGACCATCCCGCTAACTTGGAGCATGTGCATGTAAATTTTGGTACAAATCCGTCGAAAATTGCGGCCGTACATTCGTTACACACACACTCACACACACACGCACACACATCCTGCCTTTTATAGAATGAGATCAAAGAATCGCAGGTGGTTCTCTAGCAGTGGTCTGGCCACCCTAATATAATTCTACCGTTTTAGAATTGAAATGTACAACAGTTGAGCGTTTCTTTCCACGCACCTTGCTCTTCTGTTATAAACACACGTCTACCGGTGTACGTTTCCAGCAGCACGTGCTCTCTCTCTCTCTCTATCTCTCTTTCTGAATATCGATTGGTTCATAATTAATTTTGTTGT